CCTCCGAATCCGACACCTCCTCCAGCAGCGAGGACAAAAAAAAAAAAAAAAAAAAAAAAAAAAAAAAAAGAGAGAGACCCCCCGGAACAGTAAAAAAAAAAAAAAAAAAATTGGTATACGACAAACAAACAAAAAAAAACTCAAAAAAAAAATAAAAAAAAAAAAAACTCAACAAAAAAAAAGGGAGTACGACAAACAAACAAACAAAAAAAAGAAACCCAAGAGAAAAAAAACAACGAAAAAAAAAAAAAAATATTGGTATACGACAAACAAAAAAAAAAAAACCCCAAAAAAAAAAACCCCAAGAGAAAAAAAAAACGAAAAAAAAAATGGTATACGGCAAACAAAAAAAAAAATCTACCAAACATTTATATGTCCAAAACGCGTTTCGCGCCATTCTCTATCGATTGGTATATACGAATTTTGACGAATTTTGGCGACCCCGTACACCCTTCTGGGACTTAGAAAAAAAAAAAAAAAAAAAAAAAAAAAAAATTTAATAAAATAAAAGTAGAACTTTTTAATTTAAGAACCGTATAAACTAACCTAACCTAGGATCAGCCGGAGCCCCGTTAGCCGTGGAGAACCCATTCGGGTCCTCAACGTTGCCCGACTCTCACCGCGTGGAGGTGGGGACGGCACGTGAGCATTCAACTCTTTGGAGAGTCTTGTGTGTATGTGTGTATGTGTGTGTATGTGTATGTGTGTGTGTATCTGTATCTGTATGTGTTTATTTTTTTTTTTCTTCGCTTTAAATTTTTATTTTTATTTTTTTATTGTCGCGGTAAATAAAAGCGTACGCGCCGCTGCTGCGGCTGCTGCTGCGGCTGCTGCTGCGGTTCCTCCGACTCGATATCCACTGTCTCAGTGTCGGGTGTCGGTGAGCCGCACGTAGAACATTCCGATCTCGTGCCTAAAAGGGAATGAAAGATAGGGGAAAAAAAAAAAAAAAAAAAAAAATATATATATATATATATTTCCATATATATACCGGGTGTTTCAGACCACCCGTACACCCCATTTTAAAGCAAAGGAAGTGGTTATTTTGAAAAATGTTTCAGACAAAAGTTGTTGAAGATAAAGTAATGCATTACATGGGTAAATTTGATTGACCTTGGGTGGCGTCGTGAAGGTCATGTCAAGGTCGACTTGAATTTTTTAAATGGGAACCCCTATTTTTCATTGCATATTCTTGTAGCTTATCTCGAGAGCTTTCCAAAACACTATAATTAAGTACCTTTTTATTAAGTACTTTTTGAGTTATAAGGCTTGAAATAATTTCTTAATTTTATATAAACCATAAAATATCTAGTAAACCATTCATTTTTCGATTATCTTACCTTCATACTTTTATGTACAAAATAATGAGAGGAATCAATTGGTGTAAAGAAAACACATAGTTGTTTCTAAGAAAAAATATGTAATTTGCAATTAACAATTCCATATTTTTTCTTAAAAACAACTGTATGTTTTCTTTACACCAATTGATTCCTCTCATTATTTTGTACATAAAAGTATGAAGGTAAGATAATCGAAAAATGAATGGTTTACTAGATATTTTATGGTTTATATAAAATTAAGAAATTATTTCAAGCCTTATAACTCAAAAAGTACTTAATAAAAAGGTACTTAATTATAGTGTTTTGGAAAGCTCTCGAGATAAGCTACAAGAATATGCAATGAAAAATAGGGGTTCCCATTTAAAAAATTCAAGTCGACCTTGACATGACCTTCACGACGCCACCCAAGGTCAATCAAATTTACCCATGTAATGCATTACTTTATCTTCAACAACTTTTGTCTGAAACATTTTTCAAAATAACCACTTCCTTTGCTTTAAAATGGGGTGTACGGGTGGTCTGAAACACCCGGTATATAGAGTTCCATATGTAAATCTACATACCTTCTTCTTCATTCTCCTCGTCAAACTCCCAGTACGCGAGGTACCGGCGTCGAATGACCCCGTCCGGATTAAGAACCATTCTGTAAAAGAAAGAATGAATTAATATATCGAGATACAACAGCGACCTTATAAAAAAAAAAAAAAAAAAAAAAAAAAACGTGTTGTTACTATGTATTATATACGTACTTAAAACTGACAACTAATTTTTGCTGTAAAATCTGAAAAAGAAAGACGAATGTTAAGTTTAATATTCAAAGTCCCGTATCTCGGAAACGGTTAGAGATACGAGGTCGGAGCGTGGGACCTTTCTTGTAGATCTCGTCGAGATCTACGGAAATAGTCCTATACTCCGATCTCGAACCGTTCGCGAGATACGGGACATTGAAATATCGAGTACGGAACACGACCGAGCGCGGTTTCTTCTTACCTTTTCGAGGGTCCGCACCAACTGCTGCCGCGGTAATGAGCCGAGAGGCCTCGCTCTCTCGACCTTGTACAATCGGCAACTTCTGAAAAAAACGAGATACGATTTTAGTTCATAGGAACTTTTTTTGGGAACGGGTCGAGTTGCGTCGAATGGCGTCGGTCCCGAGTCTCTAAGACAAACCCCCGCGGCGGAAAAACGAAAAATAAAAAAAAAATCGAAAAATTCATATTTCGAAAAAAACACCTTAATGAATCTGAAAGGGCTCGAGACGCCCTGCAAAAAAGATCCTATGGTCCGACCTCCTATCTTCAATAGTTTAAAAGTTAAAAAAAAAAGCCAAAAGTTATTTAAAAATAAAATCTTTATAACTTTTAAACTATCGGAGATAGGAGGTCGGAACGTAGGACCTTTCTTGCAGGGCGTCCCGAGCCCTTTCAGATTCATTAAGGTGTTTTTTTCGAAATATGAATTTTTCGATGTTTTTTTTATTTTTCGTTTTTCCGCCGCGGGGGTTTGTCCTAGAGACTCGGGACCGACGCCATTCGACGCAACTCGACCCGTTCCGCAAAGTTCCTCTATACAAAGGTCCAGAACCTCGCGTTTTCGAGTTACAGCCGTTTGAAAAAAAAATTTTTTATTATTGAAGATAGGAGGTCGGACCATAGGACCTTTTTTGCAGGGCGTCTCGAGACCTTTCAGAATCTCTATGGTGTTTTTCAAAAAAAAAAAAAAAAAAATTAATTTTTCGATATTTTTCTTTATTTTGTTTCTTCTCGGCGGGGGTTGGTCCTAGAGACTCGGGACCAACGCCATTCGACGCAACTCGACCTTTTCCCCAAAAAAGTTCCTATGAATTAAACTCGTATCTCGCTTCCTTCAGGAGTTGCCGTCTACAAGGTCGAGAAAGCGCGGCCTCTCGGCTCATTACCGCGGCAGTCGTTGGTGCGGACCCTACATGAGGTAAGGAGGAACCGCGCTCGGTCGTGGTCCGTTTTCGGTATTTCAAAGTCCCGTATCTCGCAAACGGTGAGAGATACGAGATCGGAGTATTGGACCATTTTTGTAGATCTCGACGCGGTCTACAAGAAAGGTCCCATGGTCCGACCTCGTATCTCTAACCGTTTGCGAGATACGGGACTTTGAATATTAAACTTAACATTCGTCTTTCTTTTTCAGATTTTTAAAGTCCCACATTTCGCAAACGGTGTGAGATACGTGATCGGAGTATAGGACCATTTCCGTAGATCTCGACGCGATCTACAAGAAAGGTCCTACGCTCCGACCTCGTATCTCTAACCGTTTGCGAGATACGAGACTTTGAATATTAAAGTTAACATTTGTCTTTCTTTTTCAGATTTTACAGCGAAAGCCAATTAGATGTAAATTCCGTAAGTAGTCCCCGATTCATATACATCTTTTAATTTTCTTTTTCAGTATACGTTTGGTACGCAATGTCCGATTTACCGGAACAAAGACCGCCACCGTTTTTCTTCAATGACCTCACCGACAACACCGAGTTGGAGATCTCCGAATCAAATTGGGACATCCATTATCATCCTGATGAGTCGTCTAACAGCGGTTCGACGACCACCAGCATAGCCTCTATAGAGGAAGTGTCGGATTCGGATGACTTCGGTGACTTCGAAGCCGACACGGAGGAGGACACCTCTTCCGACAGCGAGGAGCCGCCGATTAAAAGAGCCCGCCTCGACCAACCGTAGTTTTAAAAATGTAAAAAGAAAATAACAAATAAAAAAAATAAAAAAAAAACTCCTTCGATGCGAGCCACCTTGACGCGGTGGAGGAGCTTAAACCGCCCCCGGTCTCCGGGCCCATCGGGCTCCCCGCTTCGACACCTTGGTGTCGGGGGGAGTCCGGTGGGTCCTTCGGGCCCCCGCTTCGACACTTGCGTGTCGGGGGGGCCCGGGGACCGGGGACGGTGACTAAGAGATCGCATTGCCTTGGTAGACTCACTATCGCAAATGTGGTGGAAGCGAACACATTGACGCGCAATATTTTTACGCTTCCCGTTGCACCGATCGCGCAGGTCGTGACGAGTACCTTGAACCGTGGGAATATAGACGAAATGGTAACACTGTTCAACGAAATGTAATGAAATTGTAATTGTGCATGCATCTTATATTTTACCTTTGTAATAGCTAATAGCAATATCATAGGCGGGAGGAGGGGCTCCGCCCCTCCCCCCGCACCCCCTTCCCCGCCTGCGCCTTTTCCCACTCGGAGAGCTTCGCCCCCCGAACCCCCCTTCCCTCCTACACTTTTTTTCTTATATCGGGGGGCTTCGCCCCCCGAACCCTCTCCCTCTCCTTCACTCTTTCCTTTTTTTCTTAAGTTTCTCTATATAAATTTCTCAATAAAAATTTTAAAATCATCCAATTTTAACTAGGGATGTACCGGATAGTAAATTTGCCGGATACCGGATATCGGATATCCGGAAATAATATAATACCGGATACCGGATACCCCGCCGAATATCCGGTAGACTAAATATCCGGCCGGATTGCCGGATATTTGCCGGATACAAGGTAATAATAAAAAAACCAAGAAAAGTATCCGATTTAATTATGTTATTTTATATTTTATTTGCATAAGAATTATCAAAAATTGTAATTTAATATTAGTAAATTTTTCATGATGAACAATAACATTTCAGCATTCTGCGGTGACAATCTGTTTCGATTATCAGAATAAACTAACTTTCCCGCACTAAAAAGTCTTTCTGAATCGACAGAAGAAGGAGGAGCACTTAGGTATTTTATAACCAAACTTTTTAGATTAGGATATTCCAGAGCATGTGTTTTCCACCATATTAAAGGGTCCTCATTTCTAGGCGACAGTGGTATCATGAGGTATTTCGCTAGCTCAGCATTGTAGACAGCTGTTTTCTTTTTACTTCTGTCACTTGGTTGTCTTACAAGCGATGTTTTGATTAATGAATCATCAAGACTATTATCAGTATCAGATTTTGAATTATTTACTATTTCGTCGAAACACTTCCAAATATCTTCGTGTGTTTCACCTATGACATCTCGTCTTTGAGAAGGGCTGACGTTATGACTCTGCGTACTATTTTCGGTATCATTAGTCACTCCTTTATTCATTTCTAGTAATTCTTCAACAATCCACTGTTTGGCTTTATTTTCGTCTGAACAAAATTTTGTTTTGAATCTTCGATCTAATACGGTAGCGAGCACAAAACATTTTTGATCCTTGACATTGAGTCCTACATATAACAATAGAAAATACAATTATTTATTTCAAAGAAAAAATAATAATGGGAATTCATTAAAGTAATAAACAATGTGTAATAAGTTTTTATAATAGAAAGGAAAAGACTTCTTCTTTCGACAAAAGACAAAACTAGATTGATTTATTAAAATTCATTTCTCTTTACAAACTAACTTAAGACTATACATTTAAACCTTAGTTCTACGAAAAAATCTAGTTACAATTAACAATATCAATTTACTTAAGGTAATTAAAAGATTTACTCGAATTTAATCTGCAATGGATTTATATGCACTTAAGCCTTAGTTCCACAAAGTAATTCAGTTATATCTAAATGCATTAATCTATTTAAGGCAATTGAAAAGAAATGTTTAGGATTTACCAAGAAAACAAAACGCGAGCAAACCATATCACTACAAATGTAATATAGGAATACCTATAGGATTTAGAAATCGTTCTTCCATAGCTTTTTTGAGATCTTCTTTCAACATCACTACTCCAGTATCTCTTTGTCGTTTTGAAAGATACGAGTGTAGAGTAACAATTGCCGGAATAACATATCCAATTGTCTCAAAATCTGAACTGGCTATTTTAGTCATTTCTTCAAATGGTTGGAGAACACGTATAACGTTTTCTACCATATTCCATTGTATAGCCGAAAGGCTTGGAATGTCTTTCTCCGCAGCATATGCAGTTACCGCTTGCCGTTGTTCATGAAGCCTTGACAACATATAAAATGTAGCGTTCCATCGAGTGCTAACATCTTGAATTAACTTATGAACTGGCAATTTCAAACTTTCTTGTATGTTTTTGAGTTTTGAGCAGGCGAGTGAAGAATGGCTAAAGTATCCAACAATTTTCCGACATTTTCCCAAAATTTCAACGAAATTTCGATTTTTAAAAATGCAATCGTGAATTACAAGTTGTAAAGTGTGAATAAAACATCCTACACTCTCTCCTAACATATCTGTAAAATAAAATACACAATATCTATAATTTTAAATCAATTAGTCAACCGTATTCCATAGCTCCATTTTTACGAAACGAATACTATATATTAAAATTGCTTAAAAATAAAAATGCGTACCAGTTCCTATAATCATGTTAGAAGCATTATCCCTTAAAATGAGATGAATTTGACTAGAACTTATTTGCCATTCTTCCATCACATCATTTAATATCTGGCCGATATTGGAACCAGTATGACTGCCAGGAAAGTGTTTCGCGCTGAGTACAAGTATTTCTCTATTCATATCGTCACTTCGAATGAAATGAGCTGTCAGGCTTATGAATGATTCGTTATTTGCTGGACTAGTCCAAATATCGGTTGAGAATGATATGTTCTTCGCAGTAATTAATTTTTCTTTAATATATGCTTTTAAATTTTTATAGAGATATGGCATAATTTTTTCGGAAAAATATGTTCTACAAGGTAATGGATACTGCGGTGCTAAGTAATTCATCAACCTTTGAAATCCTTTTCGTTCAACTAGTGCGAATGGTTCAGCATCAAGAGCCATCATTTCGCCTAAAATGTAGCATTAATTGATGTTAATGTTACTTACTTATATATAAAAATTAAAAAATACTCACAGATCTTTTTGGTTATGTTCAAGGCTTTTGGATCATCCAAAGACCACATTTCTTTTTTCTTAATTAAATATTGCAGAGTAGGCTGATAAGATTTTGATTGTGAGATCGATGTCGATGGTGGAGAATTCAAGTTTAAAGCTGGTCCATCAGTTTCGACATCATTTGTATTTCCATTTCCATCCATATTTTTAATTGTTGATGGATGTTTGCTTTTTAAATGATTCCACAAAGGCTTTGTGGAAAATAATTTGGGAGATTTTCCTCTCACAATTTTTTGTTGCGATGATTCACAAAGTAAACATTCCGCCTTTTTTTCATCATCTTTATATATTGTTGTGCCCGGTGCGGCACAGGGTGTGGGGTAGCCGGGAGAAACGATTCGGATCCTCGGATCGTAACAGCGATTCTTTTATTATAAGAGTTTTATTTCACAAATAGATTCTCATACTTTATTTCTAGTCGATTTCTTAACAAGCCTTCTGTCCTTTTGTCGTCCTTTCCTGTGTCGCCTCGTTTTAGATTTAGAGCGTTTTATAATTCTTTGAGTGAATCGTTACACAGTATCGCAGTTAGCCCTCGATCTCGTACTAGTTGTTGTTTGATTTATAATTAACGACTGTCCGCCGCGGATTCGCGGTGGACGGTTTTTATTTCCTCGGTTTCGAGGGTGTTTTGGAGGGGATCGCCTAGCGACATGACCATGTATGGTCATGGGGGTTCTTCGTGGCGTCCAAAGTCCAAATGCAAGCGAAGGAGGTTCAAAGTCGAATCCCTTCGTTAGCGTCTTTCGCGTTTCCGGCGAGCGTTCTCGCGCGTGGTTTGCTGAGATGGCGGTTTTGCGCGGTTCGCGAATGTTCTATTATATATTCTATTATAATGGTAAAATAAGTTATAGTCTCTCGGACTATAACAATATTTTAAAAAATTTCCATACTAAGGATTTTTGTGCCATTTTTTGTTTATAATTAAATTAAATTTTCTTCTTCTTTTCGTAGGTTAGATTAGATTAGAAACAATAGAAAAACACTAATGCCCTTCACTAATCTGCAGAGGGATAACTTGATAGCAAATGATTAGCTTTGTTCATAGAGGACTCTGCGTCTCTAAATTATCGGTAATGGTGCCAATTTTAAATATAAAATTTTGTTACGATATCCGGCCAGGCCGGATAGACCGGATACCGGATAGTTACCGGATATCCGGCACATCCCTAATTTTGACCGGACCTTCCCGGATGTACTCTACCAATATGTTCACGTCAACCTGTATGCATAACTCGAAAATTTTTTTTGAAACGGCTATAACTCGAAAACGCGAAGTCCTGGAACGTCGTATAGAGGAATTCGTGGGAAAGTGTCGACTTGCGTCGAACGGCGTTGGTCCCGAGTCTCTAGGACAAACTCCCGCGGCGGAAAAAAAAAAAAAAAAAAAAAATCGAAAAATTCATATTTCGAAAAAATATTGATGAATCTCAATGAATCTCAAAGGGCTCGAGACGCCCTGCAAAAAAGGTCCTATGGTCCGACCTTCTATCTCCGATAGTTTAAAAGTTATAAAAATTTTATTTTTAAGTAACTTTTGCCTTTTTTTTTATAACTCTTAAACTATCGGAGATAGGAGGTCGGACCATAGGACCTTTTTTGCTGGGCGTCTCGAGCCCTTTGAGATTCATTAAGGTGTTTTTTTCGAAATATGAATTTTTCGATATGTTTTTTTTTTTTTCGTTTTTCCGCCGCGGGGGTTTGTCCTAGAGACTCGGGACCAACGCCAATCGACGCAACTCGACCCGTTCCGCAAAGTTCCTCTATACAAAGGTCCAGGACCTCGCGTTTTCGAGTTACAGCCGTTTGAAAAAAAAAATTTTTTATTATTGAAGATAGGAGGTCGGACGATAGGACTTTTTTGCAGGGCGTCTCGAGACCTTTCAGAATCTCTATGGTGTTTTTCAAAAAAAAAAAAAAAATTAATTTTTCGATATTATTTTTCTTTATTTTGTTTCTTCTCGGCGGGGGTTGGTCCTAGAGACTCGGGACCAACGCCATTCGACGCAACTCGACCTTTTCCACAAAAAAGTTCCTATGAATTAAACTCGTATCTCGCTTCTTTCAGGAGTTGCCGAGTCTACAAGGTCGAGAGAGCGCGGCCTCTCGGCTCATTACCGCGGCAGTCGTTGGTGCGGACCCTACAAGAGGCAAGGAAGAACCGCGCTCGGTCGTGGTCCGTTTTCGGTATTTCAAAGTCCCGTATCTCGCAAACGGTGAGAGATACGAGATCGGAGTATAGGACCTTTCCTTTAGATCTTGACGCGATCTACAAGAAGGGTCCTATACTCCGAGCTCGTATCTCTAACCGTTCGCGAGATACAGGACACTTTCGCTCCTTATCTACATTCCAAGTCCTTCCAAGTCCCTTCCAAGTCCCGTATCTCGCAAACGGCTGGAGATACGAGGTCGGAGCTTATGACCTTTCTTGTAGAGGGCGTCGAGATCTACAAGAAAGCTCATAAGCTCTAACCTCGTATCTCTAACCGTTCGCCGAGATACAAGACACGTCCGATCCTTACCTCCTTCCAAGTCCCGGATTTCCAATTCCTGGTTGTACGAATGTGTCTCCTCCGTGGTGTGCCACCTTGTCGTGGTGGAGGAGCTCCCCTCTTCCTTCGGGTTGAGGGGTCTAAGAGCACACCATTGCACTTCCTCGTGGTGTTTCGTTAGCGGTGGTGGAGTACGAAAGCGAAAACGAAAGCGGCCCTCGGGCCGTGAGTAGCGAGTAGAGAGTAGTCCAAAGCTGCCGCGCGGGCACCACGAGAAGGGGGGTTGCGCTCCCTCCGGGCACTCTGGCCCGATGCGCATAGGGGTAAGCGGCCCTGACTGCAATCGCCCGGGTTGAGGATCCCGTGAAGGGCGGAGGAACGCCCCAATCCTCATTTTTGATGGCCGGAAACGGTCCTTTTTCCCTCCCCGGAAGGGGAGAAGGGGGGTTGCGCTCCCTCCGGGCACTCTGGCCCGATGCGCATAGGGGTAGGCGGCCCTGACTGCAATCGCCCGGGTTGAGGATCCCGTGAAGGGCGGAGGAACGCCCCAATCCTCATTTTTGATGGCCGGAAACGGTCCTTTTTCCCTCCCCGGAAGGGGAGAAGGGGGGTTGCGCTCCCTCCGGGCACTCTGGCCCGATGCGCATAGGGGTAGGCGGCCCTGACTGCAATCGCCCGGGTTGAGGATCCCGTGAAGGGCGGAGGAACGCCCCAATCCTCATTTTTGATGGCCGGAAACGGTCCTTTTTTCCTCCCCGGAAGGGGAGAAGGGGGGTTGCGCTCCCTCCGGGCACTGTGGCTCGATGCGCATAGGGGATGGCAAACCCTGACTTCAAATTGCCCGGGTTGAGGATCCCGTGAAGGGCGGAAGAACGCCCCAATCCTCATTTTTTTTTTATTGTTGCTCCTCACCCTTAGACATCCTTCTTTAAGTTTCTCTCTCTACCCATCCTTATCCAACTTCCTCTATCCTCTCATTGATCCCGGATTCTTCCCAATTCCTGTTTGAATGTGTGTGTGTGTGTGTGTGTGAATGTGCGTGTGTTATAGACCGGTTTGATGCGCCGGTGAGATCACACCGTAATCCACTAGGTCATGTCTCTGATGGACCGGGGGCCTCGGCTTAAACGCCCGGGTCGCGAAGAAGAAAACTTCTATAAAAAATTACCCCTATCTCAAGCAGCGCTGCGCGGCGATGGGATACCAATGGCTCGTGGATGAACGAGTCGTTAGCGGGCAACCTGTGGGGAACTGGCAACCCCACCTGTATTAATGCCCTACTCGGGTAAAGCGGCTCTACCCGGATGGACCTCTTTTTCCGCACTGCTCGTGAGATCAAGATGGATTTTAAATATTTTATACACAATTTACCGGACCAGGCTTCGGAACCCAGGTCCCACTCCGAGGGTGCGACAACCCTCGACGTAGTACCGCCGCCGCCGCCGCCGCCACCACCACCACTGTGGCCCACTGTTACAGTGCTGCAAGCGGCAGAGGAGAGCAGCGACGAATTAGTACCGCCGCCGCTGCCGCCACCACCACCATCACTGTGGCCCACTGTTACAGTGGTACAAGCGGCAGAGGAGAGCAGCGACGACGATAGACTCGTCCGTATTATTCCTGGAGCGTCCGACGAAGCTGCATCAACGTCGGCCCAGGAGACAGAGCAGATGGTGATAAAACCCTGCTCTGTCAGATTGACGAGATTATTGACGCTGCCACGACCACCATCACCATCATCACCATCATCGTCGTCGTCGTCCTCGTTCTCGGACGCCTCCTCCTCGCCTTGGCCGTCCCGATATCGCGGCCCCAGAAGACCACTCTCTTCCTCGGAGAGCTCGATCGAGGAGACAGAGCAGATCGCAATAAAACCCTGCTCTGTCAAATTACTAAAAATGCAGCCACCACCACCGACGCTGCTGCTGCCACCGTCACCACCTCCGTCGCCGGTACTTGGCACAAGGCCAAGGTGCAGAGTACGTCGCGAGAGACTGCCGCGATCACCGTCACCACCTCCGTCGCCGGTACTTGGCACAAGGCCAAGGTGCAGAGTACGTCGCGAGAGACTGCCGCGATCACCGTCACCGGCACCACCGTCACCGGCGCCACCGTCACCGGCGCCACCATCGCCTGCACCACCACCACCCGTGCACCCGTTGGATCTGCTCGATCCGACGGTGTTCGCCGTCCCGCGCGACCAAGAGACGGATATGTTCACAAGCGACATCGATTCCGTACTCGTGTGCACGATGCATCTTGTGCGTACTCGTGTGACTATGGAACCGTTTGTCTGCAAGGTGATGACAAAGTTTGAAGTCTGTCCGCGTGACGTAGTACGCTGCTCGAATGCAAAATTAACTGCATATCTGAATCATCGGCAAGATTTCGGCGGTCTGCAAAAACCAGCGTTTAGTACCGTCGTCGACAGAATAGATCCGACGTAGTGTTGGTACGAGTTCCAACTCGGTACCATAGATAACAAGCCGTACTACGTCCTCTTCCAAACGAGAGGAAATCCGGCGGAGTTGAGAGACGTGGCGCATCCTCGCGGAAAGGAAACGGCATTGCACCGCATTTGTCGAAGTTTCATCGACAATGTTATCGTCCCGGCCGCGAGCGACATGTCGCTCAACAGTGAAACGGCTCGCCATGGCGCCAAGTTCATCCAATGCGCCGTGAATCAGCGTTTTCATGTATTCGCGCAGGATTATGAGGATTTTGCCGTACGAGTCACGAAAATACTCGGCACTATCGACTTGTGCGAAAAGTGCGACATCCATGCCGTGCGGTTTTACACGTGCGAGCATGGATTTAAATTGAAGAAATCGTTGGCTCGAATGTATCTGTACAACACTATAAAAGTGTGGCATTTACACTTGGATATATTACAGATACACGTGGCGGACATGGTACGCCCGACGGAAAATCCGGTCCTCGTCCGACTCACCGAACACTCACCGGACGGCTCTTTGTCGGATATTTTTCAAAGCGCGATACACATGAGCGGTAACAGGAAATTTACGCGTTACCGCATAGGATTTCTGGCGGACTACGGCCACTTTGTCGCCAATCTGTCGCCAGCATGGGACGAACACGCGGTGACATTCGTGCAAGTTTACAACTCGGCTGCCAAATTCGCACGACCCTCCAGCTCCGGCGACATAGCCGCGTATTTAATATGTCGGGGATTTTCCCAAATGGACAGACTCGTAGAAGCGAGAAAAAATATTAGGCAACGCTTGTACAATCTCTTGGCCTATATCGTGCACTACGTGCAGGACAATTATGAATTGCGCATCGAGGAAGTCGTGACTCTGGACCCTCGACGGCACAATATCATAAACAGGATGAGAGATTTACGAATCTTCTCCGACTTGTTCGTCAACAGAACGACGAGAATATTACTGGACAACAATCTGTTGTTCAGATTCGCTAATTGGCAGTGTTACGTCTTCGACATGTTACTCCAAGATTTTAACATTGTCGAAGACATTCAGCGCGACATCTTCCTTCACGACAATTACTCGTCGCACGAAGATGTCATAAGAGCTATGCGCGCTGAACTTCGCCTCAATTATTTCGCCCACGGAATTAATCATTCCTATTCGTATCACCTGTTGCGCGTTACTTTCGTTAACGCGACGGAAGCGCGATCCATAGAAGACGGTACGATGCTTTTACATCCAGCTACGACCAACGGAGACGAATGCGAGAACCATGTTCCTTTGTATTCGCATGTCGTCCCAGCTAGATACATGACTGCGATCCGTCATGTATATAATGTTACTCGAGTGGTACGTACCGACGACGCCTGCGAGTTTCTCGTCATTTGTATAGCTTCATGGGCCTATCGCTTCTTTTTTTAAGACGACAACGACAGCATCATCTTTGCCGTGTAAGAATTCCGAAGAAATAGAAGACCTTTCGACTTGGCGGTATTCCAACGAGCGGTCGACGAATGGAGAACACGCGACCGCATCGGAAGGCTAACTGTTGCGAATGCGGTGGAAGCCGATAGATTGACGCGCAATCTTTTTACGCATCCTGTAGTACCTCTCGCACAGGTCGTGATGAGCACCTTCAACCGTAGGCATATCGACGAAATGGTACCACTGCTTCGCGAAATGGTGCAAGAAACGTTCCATGTTGTACCTACCAACATGTGGACCACGGAACACACGAAATCGTCAAACACATGGAGCGTTGTGAGAACAAATACTTACAGACAATTGCCAGACGGGCGGTATTTGAATGTCCAGTATTTGCGTCGCGAGCTGGACAGACGCCAAACTCGCCAAACTGGAGGCCAACCTAGACGAATCGGAACAACATCGATCCTGGACGATATGCCTTTGGCGGATCGTATAAGAGCGATTGCCCCGCCGACAACATCCGGGCAGAAAAGGGCTCGTAAAAAAAGACAGACGCGAGAGACGAAACAAAAAAAGAGAAGAAAGAGAAGATATAATATAACGAGCGATAGTGACGAGTCGGAAGATCCTGTCTATAATGAACCGCGTCGCTTGGCACGATTGCAAAAATAACCAAGTTCTCCAATGCCTCCGATTGTGACAATTTATTTTTTATTACGACAACTTATTTATTAAATTTATTGATTATATATTTTTCATCTATTTTTTATATATCTATTTTATATATCTATATTTTATATTATTTATTTATATATTATATACTTATATATAATTTTATTATACATTATATATTATATTTTTATATATATTTTATATATATTATATTTTTTATTATTATATATTTATTTATTATATATTTTTTATATATTTTATATTATTTATTTATATACTATATATTTTTATATTATTTTTATAAATATGGCTCTTTAAAATTTGCCAAGTACGCATATTGCATACTCTATGTGCATAAATATCAGGTTGTTGTGTATATGCAACTTATATTTTACCTTAATAATAGCCACTAGCAATGTCATAGGTACTCCGGTTTTTCATAAATATTTTTCTAAAATTACTGTAATCATTTATATTTTAATTTTTAGTTGTTAGCTCGGAGTAATTACTCATTATTTTTATATAATTTAATTGTATTTACATAATAATGGCAAGTAAATGAAATATCATACGTGCTCCTTATATTTATAATTTAATGGAGCAATGATTATAATTTATTATTTTTATAAACGTTTCATAAATAGTTTAATCTTATATTAAACAACACGATAAGAAAACTGACGTCTCCGAGCCACAGCGTATGGTAATGCCTAAAAATTCTTATTAATTGTACGCGATAAATTTATACGAAAATAAGGCATATGCATATATTTTACTTGGTGCATTTATCAAGATATAGATTCTCATTTATGAGAATTCTATGAAACCCTCTTTACCCCCCTGAAGAGACGTAGACGAGAAAAATATCGGGGCGAAGTCGCTGAATCTGCAATTATTTTATATTATTATATATTTTTATAATTATGACACTTTCAAATTTGCCAACTACACATTTTGCATATCGAAGAGACGAGCGGGTCTTCTCTACTCTATGTGGATAAATATTGTAGTTGTGTATGCAACTTATATTTTACATTTGTAATAGCGAGTAGCAATGTTATAGGCGGGGGGAGGGGCTCCGCCCCTCCCCCTGCACCCCCCTCCCTGCCTGCGCCTTTACCCACCCGGGGGGCTTCGCCCCCCGGACCCCCCCGTCATTTTTCTCCCATCGGGGGGGCTTCGCCCCCCCGAACCCCATCACGTTGAGTCGCTCGACGTAGAACGAAACTCCTACTCTATGTGGACAAATATTGTAGTTGTGTATGCAACTTATATTTTACATTTGTAATAGCAAGTAGCAATGTGATAAGCGGGGAGAAGCGCAGAATCCCTGTAGTTGTGAATGCAACTTATATTTTACATTTGTAATAGAGAGTAGCAATGTTATAGGCGGGGGGAGGGGCTCAGCTGTCAGGGACAGTTTAAAAGTTATAAACACCCATGTAATTAAAAATGAATTATTTTGGAATTTTTTCCTCGGAAAGTAAGCGTTTCCGACATATGGTCCTAAGGACGAAAGTTGATCTTCTCGTCGAGACGCATCCAAATAATTAAATTAAAAAAAAAAAATTAAATTTTTGAAATTTCCAAAATTCGACCAAATATTTATGTGTCCAAAACACGTTTCGCGCCATTCTCTATCGATTGGTATATACGAATTTTGACGAATTTTCGCGACCCCGTACACCCTTCTGGGACTTTGAAAAATTTTTTCTTTTGAGAAATATCTAAAAACCGTCGGATCTTGACCGGACCTTCACGGATGTACTCTACTAATGTGTTCGCGTCGACCTGTATGCATAACTCGAAAATTTTTTTCAAACGGCTGTAACTCGAAAACGCGAAGTCCTGGAATGTCGTATAAAAGAAAGTGTGGGAAAGGGTCGAGTTGCTTCGAATGGCGTTGATCCCGAGTCTCTAGGACCAACCCCCACCGAGATAAAACGAAAATTAAAAAAAAAAATATATCAAAAAATTCATATTTTGGAAAAACACCATAGTGATTCTGAAAGGACTCGAGACGCCCTACAAAAAAGGTCCTATGGTCCGACCTCCCATCTCCGATAGTTTAAAAGTTATAGGAGCCGATATGGTAAAAAAAACCAATTTTTGAGGTCTAATAACTCGAAAACTAAGCGTTTCCGACATATGGTCATAAGGACCAAAGATGTTCCTCTCGTCGCGACGCATCGATACGGACCATAAAATAGCCACTTGTGGTTGCACCTATTGGCGCAAACACCCTAACCCTAACCACACCAAACTCACGTAAAAAAAAAAAATCCATATCGATTATACACGAAACAGTCAAACTCGACAGCAAACAAGCCGAGATCCTATGTGCACGACCTTTCAAAGAGAACGCGATATCCACTTCCTCACTCGCTCTCGCTATTCGTCTGTCGGCGGTGCGAATTCTCGTTATGCTCTTTCGGATAGGCCAATTTAATTTTCGAACGGTTTTTATGCCTTCTTCGCCGAGAATTGTGCGCGTGGAGCCTGAATCTACAAGCGCTCTTAAGGGTTTCTCCCTCTATTTCGATCGTGCAATAGTATAGTGACGGTAGATTTAACGTATTTCCGGGATCGACCATATTATACGACAAGATCATCTCGCGAACAGAATTTGAATCGCGGGCCTCTCCTTCAGCCTTCAGAGTCACGACGGCCCGTCCTAACGACTCTCGGTCTCGTTTCCCGAACACGAAGGGCACGTTTTTACGATGACGTTCGCTTTACTGCATCGATAACAATATTGACGACGAGACTCAGAATATTCGCACACAATATGGCCGGTTTTCTCGCAATTCCAGTACTTTACATTTCGCGCGGACGAGGTCGCGGTTGAATTGTTCGAAGTCGCGGGAGCGGAGGGTGTAGCGGCCGTCACCGAGACCGTT